AAAATCCATCATTTTTAAAAATGATGGATAATGGTCATTTCTTCTAAGTATATAATGTACACAATTTTCTGATTTTTGTAAATATGACGTCTTTTCATCATATTTCCATTCTCAAGTCAATTTTCCCATCCCATTTACTACAGTAATTAGATATAGTACACTATCCTGCCGTAGACCCTTGTGTAGAGAAACATCTTGACAAGTAATTGAAACCAAAATAATTTAGTGCGCCCCGTAAAACTAATGAGATAATTAAGTGCGCCCAGACCTAACAATTTGATAAAAAATGATGAAAAACAGTCATTTTTAATATCAGAGATAACCCTATTTCTAAAATAAATTTCAAAATAGAAATGACTGTTTTTCATCATTTTACTAAAAAAAGATGAATTTCCATCATTATTAAAAATCAATTTAATGACTGAAAATCATCATTTTTAAAAATGATGGATTTCAATCACACCCCTGACTGTTTATGATCACAAATATCAATGCCGTCAATTAATTTTCAATTAAAGACTAGAAAATGACATGAATTGTGTCTTTAAAAATATTGGGAGATTAGGAGCTTTTCTTAGAATCTTTTAAATTTGTTTGTCTTTTTCATTCTAAGAAAAAATACACTTTAAAATGTGACGTTCAGTTTTGACGTGGCGACACCCCCTATGCTCTATGTTTTGAACATAAATAAAATAAACTCAAATAAACCTCATTAAATGAAAATATCTATGTTAATTTGATTTGTATTTTGCATCTTTTGGTGTATTGTATTTGATAATATGATGCCAAATATGAAAGATATGGACACTGTGACATTACTTTTGGATCAACCCTCGTATATACAGTCGAACCTCATTTTCTCAAACTCGATTGGACAGAGAAATATTTTGAGATATCTGAGGATAACAGACATTGAGGGTAAAATACTTATTAAAGAATAAGTGATTGGGGACTTCTAAAATCTTTTCAAGATATCCATTATATTTGAGATATCAGTTTTTGATTTATCAAAGTTTGACCATGTTTAAAAGTAAATGCTCTTGATGACTTGTCTGTAGAATCTGGTGATGAGGAGTCTAGTGAGGACTCCAGTGATAACTGGGACAGTGGATCTGAGACAGAGGACAAAGAGGACACAGACTGGGATATCTCAGATGAGAATAACCTCAAAATAAAAGTAAGTCTCATAGGCATTATCTGAGACAGACTGAAGTCAAAATTTCAAATTCAGAATTTATTCTTTTGTATTAAGTGAGTACATGTATTTAATTATTATACACATTTTCAGCTTTCAACACTGTTGAATAACACTTGAGACATTCAAAATCTAAATTTGATTTGAGTCTGTTCTCATCGTATGACTCAGGATGAAACTATAGAATTAAAGGAAAATACCACGATTACCACGATTACATTTTCAACACTGAACTACTGCCGCAGTCATTTATTTATAAAATGAAGGATTTTTTTTAAAAAATACAAATGGAGGTACATGTTTATAATGGCATGGGTGTCTGTCTTTGTATCCATGTACTTTGGTAGCTAAAGCATATTACTCAATTTGTTTCATACTCTGTTACAGTTATGAGAATACATCTTTCAAAAAATAATAATTCAATCGTTAAATGTTTGTTTCAATAGAAACAAAAACCAATGAAAAAAGGCACTTGGAGCTCCCCTCGAGATGTAAACAAGCCTGGGAAAAGGAAGAGGTACACTTCTGCTTTCTCAAGTGATGAGGAGGAAGAGGAAGAAGTAGACCCTGATACAACCAATAAAACTACCAGCCTGTCTGTCAGTAAAAAGACGAGATTGGAAGACAAAGAGGGAGAATCAGAAAATGAAAGTACATCCCAGAAACCTCTCAAGAGAGGTCGTGGTAAGTCAAAAACATTTCATTGTTAGCATAATTTGCAGCGATGATTTGATTTTGGCATTATTAGCCAGGGTGCTGAGATTGTTAAAATTGAATATTTTGAAAAATTAATTGCCATTTTGGTGTCATAGCCTCTTGACTGATCATTTAAAAATTGCTAAAATCATTTCTTGCTATAAATAAACTACCAATTTCTAAGGACAAATGGCTAAATTTGCATCTTCAGTTGATAGAATTTCTTCCTACATGTGTACTGTACGAGGGCTGTTAGAAAATTATTGAGACACTGAGTATATTTTGGTTTCTAATGAACGTCTTTCGGTGAAAATTTGCATATACATTTGACATACACTAAGAATTAATAAAAGCAAGAAATATTTTACAAATATCAAATATTTTCTCTACATTGGTATATAAATGCGTCAGTAGATGGGGTACCCGGAGAATTCACGAAATCAGATAATTGGAAATATGCAAGACCAACGTTCTAACTCTTCGTGGATCCATATTAAGAGCGAAAATAATTCAGTTTAAGTGTATAATTTCTCAACTCTATTTCAAATTCATGCTGTGCAACTTTTATAAAATTTTGATCAGAAATACGGAGATTGTAAAAAAATGAAGTGTGGTAGAGAAATCTGCTAACAACGACAAAATGGATTTTGACGTCAAGGGCGGAGCAGCCAACATACCTTAAATTTTGTGTAGCGCAATGTAGAACTCTCTTTCAGACTGAAGGAGCTGCTAAAACAATAACAATGAGAAAAAAATGATTTGTTATAGTTTGTTATTTCATTGGTATACATTTTTTTTACAATTAATTTAACCAGAGTAAAATTAAAAGCCCTGGACGACCATGAGTTTTTACGTACAGTATTTAATATCGTCACGGTATTAAACCCGCGTTGCATAAATCGGCACTGCAAGATTTTAAGTTATTCTTTCCCACAAATGAAAATTTTTTACTGAGGTAGATTTTTTAGACACATTTTTAAAGAATAGTTTAAGAAAAGAGACTGTTTGATTTTTGTAATGTTATATGTAATAACAAAGAAGGAAGAGTATTAAACGCTTCCCGATCGTTTTACATGCGAAACCATCTCCGGCTGACGTAACGTTAAATGACGTAGTGATGCTGCTCCGGGTCGATAGACAAATGCATGTTTATTATTTCAGTGAAACTTATCTAATTATCTTAGGAAATAGAAATTTTGCATAAGTGTTTAATTCATTCTTCATAAACTGTCGAATTTTCATGAAATTATCTCTGTCCTTTATGGAGTAAATGTAATTGTCTCAATAATTTCCGAACAGCCCTCGTATTTCTTCTTTTTTGAACTTTTTCTCATGGTTTTAAAATATTTTTTTGAGAAATGTAAGATTGAGATACAGTGTATGTAAACCAGTGAATATCTTTAAATTGTTTAATAGGGATTCATTTCTGAAAAATACTTACAGGAAGACCACCTAAATTGCACAAAGATGGAGATGAAGACATAAATGATGAAGAATGTTTACAAGACAGGGATTCCGAAAATGAAGGACCGTCCCCAAAATCTCTCAAGAGAGGTCGTGGTAAGTAAGAAGAAGATATTTAGTTTTGTTTATCTATTTATGAAATAATTATCATGCAGTCATCAGCAAGACGTGAAATTTTTATTAATAAATGTGTTTTGTTGCAGTTGTATTATGTAAAGAGTGAGATTCTTAGACTTTTATTTCTGAATAATCATGGTTTCGCAGGAAGACCTCCTAAATTAAACAGAAAGACAAAAAGTTGGAGAGATGAAAATGTAGAGTTGGAAGAAAGGATGAATTCAAAGGAAGGAGAGAATTCAAAAGATGCAGAGTCAGAAAATGGAGGACCGTCCCCAAAATCTCCCAAGAAAGGTCGTGGTAAGTCAGAAAATGTGTTTAGTTTTGTATTCATTCATCATGTATACCAGAAAATTCAAATGAACAATAAGTCTTTTGATGACTGGATAGTCTTTGCTATTTTAAGATTTTCATATGCAATTTTTTTCTTTCATAAGCAAATTTCAACAAAACAAAATAAAACTATTAAAACAGCATTTTCTCTACTTCACAACATGTGCCTGAATGAATTCAAAACAGGGCAAAAATAGGGGGAAAAGTAAAGAAAAGAAAAGAAGGCCATGCACAGAGTGATTTGTAGATCATGTACATGTGTACAATATGAATTGAAAATTCATATTTCAGATTTCTTGAGTGAATCTTATAGGCAATTTATTGACCTGTAAGCCTCCTAAATTAATAAGGTGTTGTGGAGCATAGATAAAGATGTTTAGGCAAGCGTTAGTTTTTCAATGTTTTGTTAACTGGGGGATTCATTAGGTATAATTCATGTATGAGCATGTTTTTTACAGGAAGACCTCCCAAAATACAAAGACAGACAGATCTGACAGAAAGAGGGAAAGATGAAAAAAGTGAGATGGAAGGAAAGATAAATTCAGAGGATGGAGAGAGATCAAAAGACAGGGATTCAGAAAATGGAGCACTGTCTCCAAAATCTCTCAAGAGAGGTCGAGGTAGGGCAGAAAACATGCTTTGTTTTGCATTTTTAAATTGATTATGCCTTCAGGAGAACATATGGTCTTTATGTATTTTCAGTGTTGTGATTAGTTGACAACTGCTTTCCTTTTGAATAATGTAAATACTGAGTGCATCATTATGTCAGCTTTTTTTTTGTCAGGAAGACCCCCTAAAGTGAAATGACAGAATTAATGAAACAGAGAAAGGAGAAATCATGGAAGTGAAAAAAATGAATTCTGAAGAGAAAGATTATACTTTAAGGAAATACATCTAGAAAAAAAAGCAAGTCAGACTAGTGAATAAGAAATGGACACATTAATAGAGATCTAGAAAAAGATTGAAGATGTTCAAGAATGAAATGAAGTCAGTGATGATTCTCAGTATACACAGATACATTATATGCAAATGCCCCAGGCAGCACAAAGTAGAAAACTTAACATGTCTTCTACTTTAGAATACATACATTTAGCTTAGTAATACTAAATTTGTTGAATCATATCAAAGTTGTCAGTTGGACTTCCTCCTGTAAAAAAGAGCTTTAAAAATGTACCAGGGTTAATGAACTTTTTTGGGAAATTTTACATGTAATATGTACATGTGTAATGCAAGTCTATAAGAGTCCAGAGCTCCAGATAAGGTGCGTATTTGCAGAAATATGCATTTAATTTTACAAAATATGCATTGAAAATTAAAATAGGGCATACAATTACACATTAAAAATCATAGATAAGCATTAAATCACGAAAGTACTGCATACAACAGGTTGAAGAATACAAGTACAACTTACTTAATGATATGAATTGAGGTTAAATCAGTGTTTGAGTTTTCACAAAACGAAGTACTAGTATAGATTGAAAAGCCTTCTAGTGACCAGGAATATTCAAGTAATGGCGGTGAAAATCTCCGTTTCGGGAGGAAGAATAAAAGACTTGGATTAGAATTAATTTCTATAAAGAGAAAGACTATGCACTAGGCATAACTTTTTTATTATGGGTTCATAGCCAATTTTTCATTTCTCTCAACTTGCCATATTAATGAAGATTCTTTTCTCTCAGTACGCTTGAAACGATATCATCTTAAATGAAGGAAAAATGTTCTGTGTCTCTGACTCTATGGTACATTGACCTACCATAATCTTCCTTGTCAAAAAAGAATGCTTCCCAATTTTAGCAAAAAGTCTTGTTCATAAATTTTATTTAAATACATTTAATTGCAGGGACTGACCTCTTTGGTTTTTTTCCCTCATCAAAAACACATATTTTGATTACGAGCTCAAAATCAAAATAAAGGTCAAAACATATATATATAAACTATATACTCTTCAATCATTTTGCTGAAAATTAGAATCTGCATTGATTTGAAAAACAGGGAGTAAATACACTTTGGGGTAAAGAATTATCTGGAGCTCTGAGAGTTTATCTAAACTTCTGAGAAAAAAATGACAAATAATTACAATGGAATCATTTCTATGGCTCTTATTCTGAATTAAAGAAATCAAGTTAAAATTCTTTATTTTTTGTTTATTATGTCTTTTAATCATGTTTTTTTTAATATATATTATTCATTTATTTTTCTTTGTGTTTTTTTGATTGAATTGAAAACCAAGGCTTGCTTTATTTTACATGTTTATAGTAACTTTGCAAAGATAATTTACTGATATATTGTGAATTTGTTTCATTTGTTGTTTTGGTTTTTGCTCGGTTACTATAAATGTAATGCTGAAAACATGTGGTCATGGGTATTTTCACTCTTTTGAGAGCTTACCTATTTGTACAAATTTAAAACTTATTGAGTTTTCCCTAGCCCACAACCATTGAGGGGGAGGGGGAGTGTAGCATGTTTAAAATTGATACTACATGCTCCTGTCTTGTTCATCACTATTATTAAAGTGTTCATAATAAATCTAGTCAATAAGAATATCTAGTCCTTTTTACTATTTTATTTCCTTAACCAAAAAAAAAAATGTACTCTGCTTTATAAATTTATTAAGGTGAACATGTAGATACATGTTGTAAAATTAAGGTTAGTTTGATCTGTACATATAGAGGCCAAATCAGGTCATTTTTATGTGTTGTCTAATGCATTTCTTTGCATTGTTTCTTTTTTTGTAGTGCCATTTTTATTAAATTTGATTTTTTTTATGATGCATACATATGTACATTCATTTTTAGTAGGTTGTTGAAACTTATTTTTATTTCCGATGATTTTTGTACCACAAGATGTATACTCTAGTTTGCATAATAAATGTTTTATACGAGATCATGTTTAAGTTTGAATACTGTAGAATGATGTAATTATAAAAGCTTATGTAGTAAAATTCTGCTACTTGGAAAAGGACTTCTATATTGATGATAATGGTAATTAAACAATAAAATGCTTTCTTTGGTTGTAAGTATGGGGAATTATAGCTGCAGATCTGTAGTGTAATGGTTTTATATATTTGTCTTTGACCATAACGCAACAGATCCCTTAATGCAAAAAAGGTGCAAAAAAACATAATGCTACAGACCTGCAGCTAGGGGAATTAATGTCACAGCTGTTAAAGAACAAATTTTTTTTTTATTTTTCTACAGACCTGCACATTTTATTTTCTTAGACTTATACTATGTACAACTTTTTAGCTCACCAGCTGAGCTTAAAGCTCAATTGAGCTTTTCTGATCACCCGTTGTCCCTGGTCCACCCGTCTGTAAACTTCACATTTTCAACTTCTCAAGAATCCCTTGGCAAATTTTTAATAAACTTCTTACAAAGCATCCTTGGACCAGAAAAGCTGAAACATATGTGGAAGCATCCTGGGGAAGATTAAATTCCAAATTGTAAAAAAAATTACCCCTAGGGTAGGGCCGGGCATCAATAGGGAATCCAAGTCAAACATTTAAATATATAGGAAAAATCTTCAAAAGTCTTCTTCTCAAGAACAACAGGGCCAGAAATTCTGAAACTTATGTGGAAGCATCCTTGGGTATTGTAGATTTTAAATTGTCCAAATCATGTCCCCTGGGGAAGGGCTGGGCCACAACAGGTATTACAAGGGGGGGTCTTGTAAAAACAGTGTGGCCTAAGTTACTTACATGTAGGTGAGCGATATGGTCCGTGGGCCTCTTGTTTAAGCAATATGAGCTGCAACTTGGATGTCTGAAGTTTTTATTAGAGAATTTCAAGAACAGGGAAAAGGAACATTTATAATCTCCAGTTGTTCATTTCGCACCTGATATCGAAGGCTCAAGTGGGCTTTTGCAATGAAAATTTGTCCGTTGTCTGTCGTTCTCGTTGTAATCGTTGTTTTAAATTCAAAAGGTCGTTTTCTTTGCACATTCTCATCTTTATAACCACTGGCCAGATTCCAACCAAACTGATTCAAATGTGTTCATAGCAACTATCACGCCCTCTTTCAAGGGGAGATAATTATACATTAGCGGAAAATAACGGCATCTTATCATAAATTTGAAAAAGTGAGCAAGCTGTCATAGCACATGCTCCCCCAAAACTCAAAATGCTGAAAATCTTCTGCAATGAAAAAATAAAGGAATCGGAATTTCCATGTAATATTGAACAAAAGGTCAAAGTTCAAGGTCCTAAATTTATACAAACTTTGTGTGTAACACTATCCTTTGCAGCGATATTTCAAGAGAATTTGCGCTTTTGCAATGTACTTTTCATCCTATATTCGAGGACCTCTCTCAAAAATCTCAAAGTGTCCCGCTTTCACGAAAGCGAGGGGACATTAAATCTCATTTGTCTCTCCATGTGTCCATGCACATCTACACACTGTCCGTCACAAAAACATTAACCTAGCCCATAACTTTTGATTTAGTGCAGCGGTTTATATTTCATGTGTTTATTCCTTGTGATAAAACCTTTCTTTATGTACACACGATATTTGATTTTTGACCTTGACCTTGGACGGGTTTAAAACTTTTACACAAACATTCTAAATTTTACTTTGGCCATAACTTTTGAATGGTAAATACTGGGCCAGGACTTTCATATTTCACATATATTTTTTGTGACAAGACCTTTCATTGGATACCAAAAACCTTGACCTTTTGAACAGTGAAGGAGATTTCTGTACTTATTTTTAACCATGACCATAACTTTTGAACGGTAGTGCATATTCTTTTATTCATGTATGTAATTCTTGTGAGAAGACCTTTAATTGAAATCAAGAGTTTTACCCTTTGACCTTGACCTAGGGAAAACCTTCTTTTCAAAAAGGTTTCTTGGCCACAACTTGTGAACAAAATATAGGACTTTCATATTTCACATATGTATTCTTTGTAGCAAGACCTTTCATTTGATATCAACAACCTTGAGCGTTTGACTTTGACCTTGGAGATTTTTAACATAGGAATATATACTTTAAATCTTGACCATAACATTTGTATGGTAAGGGCAGTGAAGCTTTCATTAGTTCACATATGCAATCCTATGTGGAAGCTTTTGCATTTTGTATAAGAACTTTAACCTTTGACCTTGACTTTGGAGTTCAGTGATGATTTCTAAATAAATGACATATGATAGGTGTTCATATTACACACAACATATCATAAAGAATGACATTTCACCCACAAAGACACCGCAAAGTGGTTTGTTATATTCCTTGAATTTGCTTGTTACAGAATTGTAATTTAACTATTTCAAGAACAGGGAAAAGGAACTCTCTTTAATCCACTTTTGCCTTTTAACACACCTGAGCCGAAGGCTCAAGCATTTAGCTTTTCTGATCAAAATTCGTCCGTTGTCTGTTGTTCTTTTTGTAGTCTTTGTTGTCGTCTCCGTCTTTCCACCAAAAATTTCAACCAAACTTGCCACAAAGCATCCTTGGGTGAAGGGGATATAACTTTGTTCATATTTCACATGTCTTTCAAGGGGAGATAATCATATATTAGTGAAAAATTAATGGCATCAAAAAAGTGAGCCTTTTACCCCACCTCCCCCATATTAAAATGCTGCATTCCCGGAAAAAAAATAAAGGAATCTTAATTTCCCATAATATGAACATCTAAACATTGCGTCCTAAATATCTGCAAACTTTGAGGAAATTCTGTGCAGCTGTTTAAGGGGAGTTGCGCGCTGTTTGTTCACCTCTATATTCAAGGTATGCCCAAAACTTTTTGATTTAGTGGAGCTATATAAAATTTATAGGAACTGGAATTTCCTGGTAATATGCACATTTACACACTGTGTCCTAAATTTCTGCAAAGTTTGAGGAAATCCTGTGCATCGGTTTATGAGGAGTTGCGCTGACAAAATATATATTCTTTGTGGACTTACCTTTCATCAGCTGGGATACCAACAATGTTGACCTTTTGACCTTGGAGATTTCTGTTCTTATGAGAAAAAAACTTTAACCTTGGCCATAACTATTGAATGGTAAGGGCTAGTGCTTTCATACTTCACATATATGATCCTTGTGAGAAGACACTTCATTGGATACCCTTTGACCTTGACCTTGGAATTTGACCTACTTTTCAAAAGCAAAATTGGCCATAACTTTTGAAGGGTCAGGGCTACATCCATACTTCACATTATCTTTTGTGGCAAGACCTTTCATTACATACCAATTACC